TTTTAATGGATTGGTTGTTTTTTTTTTTCCAAAATGGTTTTGCTGATTCTACTCATTTCCTGTCTGGTAGGATTAATAAGACATGTTGATGACTTGGTTCTGAAATTAGGCTTATTATATATGTAGGTGTGTGTGTATTTGTGGGTATGTATATATGAATATATTTTGTTACATTTTAATCCTTTATGGACTCTGAATCCTTTATAGTCATTTGGATAACATTGTTAGTATATATATATATATATATATATATATATATATATATATATATGTTACTGTGTAGATTGCTATATTTATATTTATTTCTATGTGTGTGTGTGTGTATATATATATATATAGATATATATGTGTATGTATATATATATATATATATGTATCTATTTGTAGTGATGAATGTATGTACTCATACACATGTATGTACAGTGTAACTCGGATATAAGAGAGTTGCCGGGACCTGAGAAGAAGTCTCTTATATCCGGGTTTCTCTTATATTCGGGTTGGGTCTAATTTATATACATTAACACAGGCTCTAATTTGGGACCAGAGAAAATCTCTTATATCCGGGTTTCTCTTATATCAGGGTCTCTTATATCCGGGTTACACTGTATTTCTATATATATTGTTATATATTTGTACTCATGTATGTGTATTCATGCATATATAAGTTAAGTACATATGAGATATTTAAATATATCAAATATATCGTAAAAATACTTTTCTGTAATATTTTAAACTAAAAATAAGTAATATTTGTTTTAATTCAGATTATTAATTAAACTTTAAATCGGTAATCTTCCCCAAATAAAGTTTAGGAAAAGTGTATTTTATTTTTGAAAGATTTTAATAAGGTGCATGAGGCTGTGTTAACAGATTTGTCAATATGAACGATTTTTTAATCATACTGATAATAAAAAAATATTCAATCAATTTAAAATTTGGTTTGAAATAAGGCAAAAGTATATTTTTGTTTATTGTAAAATATTAGCTTGCAATTAAAATAAAAGCTTCTAAGCTTTATATATATATATATATATATATATATATATATATATATATATATATATATATATATATATATATATATAAAATTTCGTAAAATAAATAAAAGAAATACTGCCGAAAAGGAGATTTTTTTTTCTGCCAGAAAATAAGTTGGTAAAATTCAAGTGCAGATTCGTTTTCGCTAAGACCGGGAACTTTCAGGAGAGTGCGTATTTTTCGAGTATTCACCGACAAATTGCCCCTCATTTCTTATTCCCCAGTTCAAAACCTACGCGGGAATGTAGCTATTTAACTTTAAGGTGAAAAAAAAATGAAAAATATTTGTTTTAACGGTTTCTTTTCATTCATCTACAACATTCGTATGTTATGTTTTAATTGCATAATTGTTCTTTTTAATATTTACTTTTGTTTAAAATTAAATGGCGTTGTTGTGACTTAATGTTCAAAAAAGAGTTTGTTGTTTGAAGAAATGTCTATTTTTTTTTTTTTTTTACTAATTTTTCAAGTTAAAATTTAAAAAGATATACTTCATCCCAGAAACTTCTTTTTTAAGAATGTTTGTATATCGGTTTTAAAACCAGATAGACAAATTGTAACTGACATTTCAGCTTCAATGATAAATAAAAATTTCATTGTTTTGTTTTTAATTTTAAAAAAACAAATGTGCTTCTAAACTTTCCAGGGAACAAAAATTGGATTTTATAACTTGATTTTTATTTTTTTGTGGAACTGTAGATGATTTTTAAAATTAAGAAAAATAATTACAATTTTACACAGTTGTAATTACATACGAGAAACAATGAGTTGTTGACTTCATTGGCTGCATTGGCTTTAAAAAGTAATTTGTTTTTCCGATCTTTTGATATGCATTCTCTATTTCGTCTTGTTTCTCTTTAGTTTGAGTGTCATAAACTGATCCTCAGTGAATCCTTCTTTCTTTGCCGTTCATATAAATAGAAAAACTCAACTGTAAAAAAAAAAAAAAAAATTAAATTTCGTTTTTTAATTCTCAAAGAATGCCAATGAAAGAAAAAAAATGCCTGTCATCCGAAGAGAAAAAAATATTTCAAGTTCAGGAAATATGCTTTTCCTCTAAAAATAGATTTTTAATTTTAAAGGGTTAGTATTTCATAAGAAGAGTAGGGATAAGAGAATTAAAGTAATAAGTAATAACCAAACATTAGTGTCTGTAATTAATTAACCTAGTAGTGTTTGAATTTTTGCCTTTTGTTATATTTTTAAAAATTTATCTCTCATCTTTGTTGTAAACTAAAGTTTTGTAAGACACTTAAAAATGATAAATCAATATATGGAATTCATTGATTTTTTTTTTTTTTTTCATAAATGATCCATCATAAGAAATTTAAAATTAATGACTAGCAGTGTTATATATCAGTTTTAAAACTTATTTGTTTTACTGTTAGTGTTCATCGTTGTAGAAGAAAACTTAAATGTTTTTATGCTTTACCTACACGCAGAATATTTCACACTGATGATTATGGCAAATAAGAATGATTCTGAAACCAAGAATTCTACAGCCAAACCAAAGATAGTGACTGCAAAAAATGCCTCCCCGAAAACGTGGCCTGATTTTGATGCCTCATCCAAACAAACTAAAAAACTTGTAAGCTAATTAAATTATTCATGTTCTTCAGCTGTGCTTTCCAAAGTGAATATTGTCTGTTTTTGTTTCAGAATTTTTATTTCTTGTGTAAAAGAAAGTTATGTCATGAATAAAAACTTTATTTAAGTCCTTAATTCTGCATAATATATATTCTGTGGTTTGTTTCTGCTTTGGCGCAAACTAAAAAAACACCCTTCGTAAGGCTTTCTTCACATAGTCTGGTCTTATAGGATACTAGGACTCCCTAACTATGAAACTACAGCATTGTTAGAAAACATTTTTTTTTTTTTTTTTTTTTTAGGATTGGGTCATTTTACTATGAATTTCTGTTGCAAACAGAGCTGACCCCATAAAATTGTGAAGTACCCAACAGAAATAGATTTTTCTTAAGTGTATATATTGGATATTGTTAATATCTCAATTTGACATTAAAATTTAAATTAAAACTTCCTTGAATTTTCAATGCTAAATTTATTTCTTTTTATAAGACTTTTATTTATGAGATTGGGATTTTGTCCACTTTTGGGAAAAGAGGTTGGGTTTTTGTCATGGATTACTTCAGAACATAGCTTATCATGTCTTTCTACAGATTCCTTTTCTCTATTATCTACAAATTTCCATCATAGTGGAATGGTTTCCTTATTTCCTTCACCACTGTTTTGAATTCATAGCAATCTTTCTCCAAGGCTTGATGCCACCAAAGTCTAGAGATTCAATCCTGCCTTACTATTTAACCCATTGCTTGAGACAAGAGATGATTTATACCTTTCCCAAAAGCCTTTGTATAAAAGTGAATGCAATAGATTAAGCCAGAATTTGAACTCTGTCACTGATTCCACTTTCTGTGCCAATAAATGATACGTTACCTGCACATAACATTTTATTAATATTTGTTTAAATTTTTGATTGCTTCACAGACACAAAGGAGAAAAAAAGAAAATGAAGGCTTTGTTTTTAACAATCCATTCCCTAGATATCATTTTCTCATTGTACTTTTAAAAAGGGAAAGATTAAAAGCACACATTGATGTCTACAGCTTGATGGGCCTGTCTTGGTACTTTTTTTTTTTACATTTCACTGAGGATTTAGAATAAATTCCCGAAGATAAAGCAGAAAAAAACTATTTGTTTTTAGCTCTTCATTTCATTGTTAGTTGTTTATTTTTGTTCATCTTGTAGCAGACTCGCCATTATAGCTATGTTGACCTGAAGGACATCTTGCCTGAAACTGTGGTGGATGTTTATGGTGTTGTCAAGTTCTTTAAACTACCTCAGAAAACACGAGGAACAGGTTAGAACAATTTTTGTTAATCATTTTTAATACACAGAAAACAAAAGTAATTAAAAAACACAAATAGGATTGTAAGTAGTTAATCTATATTTGGTTAACAAACAAGAAAATTATTTTGATTTTGTTAATATTTCAATGTTTGACATCATGTACACAATTTTATCTACATATAGAAAAGATGAAAGCAACTCTGAAAACATTTTTGTGGATATTAACATTTGACTAGTATTGCTTTCATTTTCTTTTCATTGTAATTACTCAGACCATCATTCTACAGCCAGATCAAATATAAAGAATAAGCTGTTGACAAGAATTAAACTAGCATTTCTTATATCAAGAAGCGAATCTTAGCATGTGTAGCTGCCATCCTTTGGTGTAACGTTGTACCAGTAAACTACTTCCTGGACAGAGCATTGCTTTCTGGCAGCAATCTGTTTTATGGATCTGTGCAATTGTTCAACAATGCTGTTTCCAGATGGTGCATATGCACATCGGAAACACAGGTGGACACCCCACCTCTCAGCAAACATTCTAAAGCTTCTACTGTTAAATGCTGTATCATTATCTGTCAAAATCTCTTTAGATGAGCCCCTCTAAAAAAAGATAGACTTGAGACACTGAATTACAGTAGCTAAATCTTGTTGTAGGGGTCGTCAAATGGCAAACTGAGTAGGCTCACAGTCTATCAGGGTCAGGTAGTGAGCATCCCTGTAATGGGTGATATACATCCCTAGTCTCTGCTATATACCTGCTGTCTCCAGTTTTCCATTTTAACTATTGGATTGGTACTGGATCAATTGACAGACATTATGCTGAGGTTGCCTCTCTGATATTTTCATCCTGAGATATTATGGTATCAATGACAGATCTCATTATTTGGGGGACAATGTTCAGCCCAAATCCCAATCTGGTCAGGCAGTACCTTCTGCCTTGAAAGATAAAAATTTGGTATGGCCAAAGTCGTTCATCAATGTGCACTTGCAAATAGGCTGATCTGAGATCTAGTGGTGCAACATTCGATCCTTTGTGTCTCCATTCTCTTAGTTTGCCAGTGCAAATATCAGCATCTGCAGTGTATGCATCAATGTGGAGGGTGAGTTCCCTGTAGTCCACTTTTGACATGTTTTGCTGCATGACAGCCATCAGTGGAAATAGCCCTCTTGGGAGTCCAAGCTTCTGCTTCTCATATGGAATAAGCCAACCTTTCTCAATTCATTGTTGCAACTCCCTCTCATATGATTCTCTGATTTTTGTGTTTTGCAACATGCCTGGCATTTTGATTTCTGCCCATTTCCAGGACGCAGTCAACTTATTCTGTTGCTGATCAAATTCTGCTCGAAAATCAGGTTCTTCAATCAAGGGTACTAGCACTGCCACACACACAGGAAGTGGCTCTTGGAGGAATTGAATCTCCCCTACCTAAATTTGAAATCGGCATTCTGCCAAGAGCTTTGATCGCATCTATTCTAATTAGATCAAATTGAAAAGATTGGGGTCCTCTAGCACTACCAGGGCCTCTATCACAATACCCCTTTGATTTCCCACACAAAGGCTGATGTGCCTAACAACGCACGTCTGCATTCCACCGCTGATGGCTAAAATGTCAACACTTCATTTCTCCCATGTTTGGCACACTTTCTTGCTCACTGAGGTACAAGAGCACCTGAAGTTCACTAGTGCAATGCACTTCCTTCCACATTAATTTCTACCATTGACAGTGCCGATTTTACATCTTGACTGGGGAGGAAACCAGCATTGAGTTGATGTCCCCTGATCCTTTTCCAGGACAATCTTGGGATATGTGGCCTATTTTATCACATTTATAACAATGAATATGAGGCTTTCTGCCTCAGCTGAGCAGACTTTTACAATCTTTGACAAAGTGATTAAGGCCATTGCATTAACAACAAATTATGTCATTAAAACCCCTAAGAGGAGGTTGCATAGCCCATTGGTGTATCTCCTATGTTGCTGCTGCTGCCAAGTCTTCATCTGGGTTCTTGTCTTTCATTATCACTTGATCACAAGTGAGCATCTGTTTTATGGTCAATATCTCCATCCAAGAAGTGCAAAGGAGCTGGTTCACATGATTTAGCAACCCCTTGACAAAAGTGTATGCCAAGCCATGGTTGCTGATGCCCCCCCCCAACATTATGGTCAGTTTGCGTACTTCTGCCAAGTACATGTCAACAGAATCCCCTGATCAAATGCGCTGTTCAGAAAATTGTTTATGTGTGAGAAACCCATCTGTTGCAAACTCTGTAAATGGCCAATTTTATGTGTTCAACGTCTGCTTTTTTCTCTTCACTTAATTGCTGATATATGGCAAAACACCCCCACCAGGCAGTCTTAGAGGAATCACATGTTATGTCTGCTTCACTTCACACATCCAGCAAACAAGTTCCGCCTTTTCTATCCATTCAAACACATTTGGCCCAGACATTAAACAGTCAAATTCTGATATAAGTTTGATATCAAACTTTCCCTCCAACATAGTTTGCAATATTGCCAAAAACGCCTATAGCTGAATTGTCAAAATTCTTTTCCTTCACTCCTGTCGCACCAGCAACATCCCTGGCTTTTATGGCATCTAGTGAGGTCGCTACACAAATTTTTGGTCATGTGAGATATCACTCAGTTCATGCAGATTGAGTCTCCTGTGCTGTACACAGGGGACTCAATACATGAGTAGATTTAGATACATGAGTAGATTTAGTAGTTGATGTTATCTTGGATTTTTATTATATAAAACATCATCAAACTTGATTTATTTTTGACTAATAGTTCTTTCACCTTACTTTCCATTGTAACTACACAGATGACTATTCTTCAGCTGTTAGTAAACAACATGTATCAGATTTAATAAGTAACTCCTAACAACCACAGAATGATGATTTGAATAGTTGCAATGAAAAGCAACTAAAATTAACATGAAAGAAATACTATTCAATAATTAATAAAAATTCAAGATGCTAACAGCTTTTTAGCTGTCTAATATTTGATTAGAAAACCAAATCTTAATTTTGCTAATATTTACAAGTTTTCCATTGCATAATGTCTTGAAGATAATTTGAAATATTAACAAAATCAATTGTACTTTCTTGTTAATGAAATAAAAATGAGTATATTTTTCAGAAACTTGCATAATTCATCCTGGCTGCCTACAGTACATTTAACTAGCTAGTCCCAAAAATCATTACTAATGCAGTGAATCTGATCCTCACTGGGTGTGCCACAACTATGGCCCTAGGATTGACTAAGGTTATCTATAATGCAATGTTTAGCAGGATAATCCCAGATTATTATTAGTGTAATGACTTTGATTTCCACTCATGTCTTTCTGCCAGTCTAAACAAGAGTTCATAAATATATTTCATCCATTAATTAGACTGTCTAACAATGTTAAGTGAGGAAGATAATGCAGAAACCACAACTAAAAAAATCTATATAATAATTATCATTTGTTGTTAAAGTTTCTCAAGTCTTGGTGTTGCTTCATCTTTAATTTTAGATTACCGACAAGTAATCAGTATAATTGATCCAAGTTTCTATGGAACTAACAAACTGACATGCCTGTTGTTTGCAAGGGATGAGGTTTCTTTACCACCAGTGAAGATTGGCAGCATTGTTCGCTTCCACAGACTACGAGTGAGTATTTTCTTCTATTTTGCCAACTATTTACCTGATTGTTTCTATCTTCATTACAAGATTTACCTCCCTTGTGTTTTTGCCAGATTGAAACAACCATCCAGAACAAGGAGTTGTTTTTCTCTTAAAGCATAAGTTTTGACTAAAGGGCCCAGATAAGGGTTGCCACACACAGCTAAGTCCTACAAATTTTGTCTCTTCTATAGATTGAAGATTTTTTTTCCTCATGTCTGCTTGGAAATATTATTTTAACATTGTTCTTTATCACTGCATAAAATATGAAAATTTATACCATTGTTTTTTTTTTTTTTTCATAATTCTTCATATATACCTTCTTCACTTGATACATTGGTTGATTAAACAAATGTAGTCAAGATCATAAACTCATTGTAAGCTCCACAATCTTTTTGTTACCTGCATGGTATGTATTTTGCCAGTTTTAAATTCAGAGTTGTCCTTCTAGACTGGTTTCCAACCAAGGCTGAAGAGCCCAGTCTATTCAACTATTTAATCCATAGCTGAGGGGTTGAAGAGATAAATTCATACCTTCCCAAGAGTATTTGCACAAAAGTGAATATAATAAAACTTGACTGGAATTTAAACTCTGCTCTTCAATTTCTCGTTCCAAGCTGCTATCCATTATGCCATCTACTCATCCTTCATACATACTGATAGGCACTTTAAGATTTTATATACTAAATTAGTGAGTTTCTGAGTTATGATTGTTTGGTATTTTTAATTCTGTCAAAGTTGGGAGAATGTTTGAATTTGAAGTTTTATATTTTTAAATTGTTTTTTCTTATTTTTTTTTTTCCTCTTCAGATTGGTCTTCACAATGGGGAACTGCAAGGCATGAAAGCATCAGGCTTCTCGTGGCTTGTCTTTGATGGAAATGCACATGGGCCTCTCATACAAAAAGCTTCCACTACAAATTACACTTTCTGTGATGTTGACCGAGAAAAAGTAAGAGCCATATTCCTTTCCCTTTTATGCTTCCAGATATAAATGTTATAAAGCTATATATTATTTTTATTATGTTATCAAGATAAATACAATGTATTCATTTACATTTTATCAACCCTATTTTTGGTCATTTAAAGCTGAAATATATTGTAAGAATTTTTTTTCTTTTTTTTTTGTTGAGTGAATATTGAATTAATACTTTTAAAATGATAATGATTTTTCCAGATACAAGTCCTATTACTTAACCCATAGTTAAGGGGAGAAGAGGTGGATTCTTACCTTTCTTAAGACTATTTGTGCATAAGTGAATGTAATGAACTCGACTGGAACTTGGCTCTCCAATTTCTCATTCCAAGCCACTATTTGATAGTATAATATTAGGAAGCTCTCTTTCTGTGACTGGTTAAATTTACTCATTATGACACACACTCATTGTATGTAATAATCATTTCTGAAATCAACTTAAAAATTAAAATAAGATGCAAACTCTACTTAAACCTTTTGAGCACTGAACTTATTTTCAATATTTTTTACATAATGCATTGAAATATCTAACACATTTAGAGCTTTCTTCTATATACAAAAGTTAAAAATGAAATATTTATAACTTCTTATTTATTAAATTTAGAGTTTTTTTTTTTATATATACAAAAGTTGTAGAGCTCAGCATATTCTTTTGAAAAATTAATATCTAATCTGAAGATGGGCAGCTATTTTGAATGTTAATTAGTTGTATTTTCAGAAACAAAGAGACTGTGTAAATTAATGTTCAAAAATTTCTATAGCAATGTGAAACCCTGGGTCAGTAAAAAAAAACAAAAATAACTTTCATTTTGAACCACAATATTATGCAAACTTTGTAAATTGCACAGTCTTGGGAAAATACTGATCTATGTTATTGTTACCATCATGCTCAGAACCCTGTTAGATCATGTGACATATGTATATATCTCTATCATCAAATTTTGTTTCTGAGATTTTCCACTCTCTCTCTCAACAAAAATAACCTCTCAAACTGTTCAGTGTGCTGTAGTGATAGTATTCTATGTTCACTAATTACAAGCAATGAACTTGCCCCAGTTGGCTATTTAACTTGTAACACCTATTTTCCTTTTGTAGCCAAGTTTCATTTAGTTGAATAAAGTTTAGCACTTTTACTGTTGTCCTGAGCTCTGTTTACTCTTACAATTAATACACTAACTTCTATGTTTCTTATTTTTATTTTAATACCATTGCCCTTTAGTTTTAGGTGATCATGGCTCTCCACAGATTTCTTTTTATTATCTGATTTGTCATGACATCTTGGTAAAGATAGTGGAGTGGTTTCCCATTGCTTTTCCTAGACTAGCTGCCATTGAAGGCCAGACAGCACAACTGTCTACCCTTCTATTTAACCTACAATTGGTAGAGAAAAAAAGATGGATTGATATTGCCTGACATTAGCCTCCAATTCTATACAAAATGATAATTTTCAGAGGAAAAGCTACTGGTTTACTGGATGAGGTTAGTTCAAACAGAAGGAAAAAAGAATGCAATTGAATTAGATTCTTGTAAGAAAATGAATATAAGAATAGATTATCAGATAATTGTGTCAGGTGAGGAAAATGTTTGATAATTATGAGAAATTGTATATCTATTTTTCACACACACACAAGAAAGATATAAGTTAAAAATTGATTTCACCTGCCTCCTCATCTCTGTAATATTGGTACAGATACTTATCACTACAATAAAAATGACTTGACCAATCTCTTATAGTATTTAAACTTGCTGTTGGGACAACTTAGGATTATTATGATACTGAAAATCAGTTTACATATTAAAAAAAATAAAATATACACTATATTTACTAAGCTTATCTTAGTTTGGCTAAATGAAAGTAGAGCACCCTGTTAGGATTGATTTTGCTACACAGACGTATTTTCTGAGTATCTTGCTGGCTCTTACTTCACGCCAGCCACCCTACATGTCTATCTTATGCATTACAAAATACAGAATCTGTCTTACTTTTACCTCACCAGATGAAATATTAAAACCCCACTTCTTGTAAGATCACCAACGTTAAGCAAGTTAGTACCTAGATGAGTGACCGCTTGGGAATACTAAGTGCTGTATGCTTGGATGTGCAGGTGGTGTAATAGATAACAATTCATAATTGGAATTCAGAGAACCAAGTTCCAATTCCAGTCAGGTCAGATTCATTATGTTCATTTGTGCATAAATACCCTTAGGAATGGTATGAATCTACTTCTTCTCTCCCTAGCTATGGGTTAATTAGTAGGACGTCTATCAGTAAATCATTATTATCTCCCAAAAATTCTTACAATCTAAAAATATTTTCTGGCTTTAAATAACCTGGCAAAAGGTTGATAAACCATAAAAAAACATATCAATCATACTGAATGAAATGTCAGTTCAATAACAAATCCATTACCTTTATAGTTAGTCTGTTTGTATGCTTAAACTTCCAATAATATTTGTTGCATTTTGATTTCAGATTAAACACTTACAGGAATGGATTAAAGTACAAGAGGATCTAAAAAGCAATGAACAATCACATTGTTTAGAAAAGATTGTTCCTGGTGAATATTTCAACCTGGTCTGTCAGGTAGAACTATTTCTTCAAAGAATGTTTTTCTCCTTTGAGTACTTTTTTGTTTTTAGTCATTTCAAGGCAATAAAGCCACTAACATGCAAGGGTTTACTGAGTGTGAGAGAATAAAAATGCTATCAAGGAGAGAGAACAATAAAAGAACAGGAATTAAGACAGAAGATAACGTTTGACAGTACATTTAAATTTTAGTAGATCAAAGTTGACTGGGGAGGAAAAAACCAGAAGAGTTCCACAAGCAAGAATTGCAAGAGAAGAAACTGTTAGCAGAGAACTTACGGTTACATTTAGCCATTTTAACTGTAAAACAATGAAACCTGGCTGCCAATCTAGTACTGCACTTAAATTCATAAAATCTACATAACATAGAGGAAAGTTCGTCAGAACAATTTGTTTATATTTTTTTTGTTATATTTATAGAAAAGGCACAGGGAAACTATACTACAGCAGTGGGAAAGTGACTGAAGCCAAGATGCCAGGTCAGAACCAATAACATTGCAAATTCTTCTTTGTATTTTATCAGGAATCTTTAACTATATAGCAGAAGCACCAGGCCAGATGTGATGGCAATATTCAATGCATAGATGAATAGTTGACTTATAAATGTATAAGATCAATTATGGTGAGAAATATTCTCTAGCATGACACAGTGAACCAACATTACTAGCAACAGACCTAGCAATTGATTCAATATAATCTTTCCACTTCAGTCCAGTGAAAAACGTTAGCCCAAGAAGGTGCAATAAGTCACTCTCCTGAAGGTTAACATCAGCTATGCTGATTGAAGGTAAAGAGGGTTCTCAGATGATTAAAAGAGAACAGTTTCATTTTGGAGGCATTAAAATTTACATGCCACTCCTTGCTCTAGTTAACAACAGATTGTAGGTCATTTTTTAAATCAGCTGTCAATTTGACCATATTGAACCAATCAAAAAATATTATTAGGACAGTAGTATATAGTTGTCATCAGTCTCTATCCTTGAACCTATGTTGTTCATACTTTTTCTCAATGACCTTCCTGATGGCATCAGTTCTCAAGTCAGTATCTATGCTGATGACACAACTATATACTACTGTCATAATAATATTTTTTATATTCATTAATACAGAAAGATCTAGAAGAGTGTTTGTTCAAGACAACTTTCATTTCAAGATTTGATAACAAAGACTGACTCAGTTCAAAAATTTATCCAGCAATATCATAATCTTTCAATTTATAAAGAAGACTAGCATGCCAAAACCTTGCCAAATGCCTTTAAGATACCCAAAACAACAGCACAAGTTTCACCATTTTTATCTAAAGCTTGATAGACTCTTTCAGCAATAATTGTTAATACATCAGACGTTGACCTAGAGAAGCAAGAGCTATATTGATTATCAGAAAGAAGACCCTGCAAGGTGAGATGCTTAACCAATTCAATTTTCATTAGAGCCTCTTGTACTTTGCCAAAAAGTGGTAGAAGACTAATAGGCCGGGAGAAGGATCAGATGGTTTGCCTGAGTTCTTAAAAACTGGAACTACAGAAGAGGATTTCCAACAAGCAGAAAAGCAAGAAGCAGCAGGGAATTTATTGTAGAGTTGAAAGAGAACATTTCTTAAGGACTTTTAGGGATACCATCAACTACATACTTTGTGGGGATCCATTTGAGAGATGATAGCAGAAAGCATGAACAGAGTTATATACATATCACTCAATAGAGACTCAGTTCTAAATTCTCTCCGAGGATATGGTTACAATTATTACAATCAGACACAAAAGAGGTGCCTGTTGTGTTCAGAGCTATCATGCTGGTACAGCCAGAAAAAAGTGATTCCTGTGAATTATATCAACTGAACAGGCCAGTGTGAACCAAAGAGAAGATTGTGGTTTCACCTGGTATTTCCAAGAAGGTACAAAAGCATCAATGCTGGCTTTAACCCAAGAAGAAACCTCTGTGGCCCATTTCTCAATAGGAAGGTTAAGAATATCAGTCCAATGGGTATCTCAAAGAAAGTCACAAAATGAATCCCAATCAGTGTGCTGGTAACAGAGAAATCTTGTGAATTGGAGGTTCCTTTCTAATAGACAACTCAAAAGAAATATCAACTGATGATCTGAATTGCCAAAAGGACAGAGTTGCGATGCTCAACAAGAGCTAGAAGAGGAGATAAGGAACAAATCAAGTAAAGAATGTTGATCTGATTTATTAGGGAAACAAGTAGGGAAATCTACTATTTGACTGAGAGACTGAGCAATGGAAAAATTGTAAGTCTGAATACTGGCAATATCAGTAACATTAAAAAGATTAACCACTTGACATGATGAGCATTAAAATCACCAAAGACAAAAATGTTCACAGATGAAGGTAGAGAGAGGCATTTCATATTATCAGAAATTTTGTCTAATATGTCACAGTCCTGAGAACGAGAGTGATAAATGAACAAGAGATAGCTAACAGAGTGTAATAACAAAAGCTGAAAGCATATGAAAGAATCATCTGAGGACTCAAGACAATTCCAAGTGGAAAATTTTCCTGGATGTAAACACTAAGGCCATGCATATGTATCCTAGAATCTTTTTGACAAAGAGGAAGAATTTAAACTTGAAGAATTTAACTTAGTTTTGAAAAATGTGACAATATCTAGAGAACATTTTAAGAGAAAAGATTCTACACTACAGAAATTAATATGAATGAATACCACAAATATTAGAGAAAGAAAAGGTTGGGGGTGTAAGCGATGTTTTGTTTACTCATATTTCTTTTCATTGTATCTGTCCTAAGATTGTTTTATGAAAAGGCCAAAATATTTATCAAAATATTATGACAATACAAACTGGCCAACAGGTGGCTAAGACTAAAACTTAATACATTCTGAGACACCTATCCATGCATGACATGGCACTATAAATACCCCAATATTATGTGAATGTTGATCAGAGTAGCCTCTCTAAGTGCTACCAAAGAGTTCAGGCTCCTTACTACCAGTTGGATGCAGCAACCAGAAAAAAGAAAGAGTTGATCCAAGGATTGAACTGCCTACAAGGAAACGTTTTATCTAACATTTTGATCTACTAGGCCATATCGCATGGACAGTCCTGCAATTTTGAAGCCTTAAAACTAATCTCTGTACTCAGGTGATGGAATTTTTTAGCATTCTTTCTATCTTAGTTTGAGGCTAAGTCTATTGAAAATGTTGTCAGAGCCTAACATATGCACTGATTTTTTATCCTTCCCTTGTTGTTCTTTGACTATTTTGACTTTATACTACTTTTTCTCCATCATATAGGATCAGCCATCTCTGATTTTATTGTCTCTCTTCAAACTACATCCTTTTGGTGTTCCTCCACCTTTACTTTTAGAGAGCAGCTGGTGTAGAATATACACTGTTTTTGGTCATTTTCTCTTCCGGAGTGGAGAGGGCTTGGTTTGGTTCAAAATTCCAAAGTCACTGAGTATGACAAACATTTGAAGAAGGCTGGAAGGTATAACAGCTGAAATATTGAGTATAACTATCAAGAGAATAATTGTTTGGATGGTACCTATACTTTATGAATTTAAGTGCAGTATGAGATTGACAACAAGATCTCATCAATTTACAGTTGAATTGGCTAAATTTAACTGTAAGTTCTATGCTAACAGTTTCATTTCTCACACTTCTTACTTGTGGAACTCTATTCAAATTCCTTGCTTTCCAGCCAACTTTGATCTTTAAAAATTTAAATGGAATGTCAATCATTATTTACTGTCTTGATTACTCTTCTTCTATTGTTTCCATTCTATATTAATGTTTTTCTTTCTTCTCATTCTTTCACACTCAGTAACTTCTTGTGTGTTTTAGTGGCTTTACTGTCTTGCTTAGAGTGGTAATAATAATTCCTCATTTCAAAAGCACCAATATAAATTAGTCTATAAGACAATTTGAAAAACTTCTACTTATGTAAGATAATTTTGATTTGATTTTTTTTTTTTTAGGTTGTGAGTGTTTGCTTAATTGAGGAAAATGTCTGTCTGCTTCTCCAGGTATGGGATGGAACCTGTCCTAATTAGTAAGTAATACGAAATATTCTCATATTAGAAATTTCTAAAATTCTAAAAATCCTTGCACTACTTTTATTTTCATAGTATTTTAACGTAAAGAATTTTCCAGCCAAATAAAAACTATTCAAGTATTATATTCAATCCAATATGCTATTGCTATGAATGGGGAGGCCAAGTACTACAGCCTTTGAGTTAATGCCGTGGTTCCCAAAAGTCTTCAGAATATGCTGACTGCACCTCTCCAGAGGGGTAAGACCCCCTCCATATGAGGTGTCCTGGGTAAGATGATAAATTACATCTGCATCCTGGGTAAGATGATGAACTACGATCAGGAGGTTTTGAGGGGTGTGGAACCACTTCTTAATTGCTTGCATTCCCAGGTCCACCCGTGACTTGAGGTGGTTGCATCTGCTAGGGTCCCCGCTTTGAGTAAATAGTTGACCCCCAATTTGGGGTCAAAACACTGTGAAGGTGTAAAAATAGGTATTAATATCAACAATACATTCTTGGAGGAAAAATTATTACCAGAAATACATTTTTGAGGAAAATTTTTTACCAGTAGTACTTTTATGAATGAAAAGTTATTACCAGCAATACATTTTTGAAGAAAAAGTTATTACTAACAATATGGCTTTGAAGGAAAAATTATTATCGAAGATACAATTTTGAAGGAAAAATTATTACCAGCAATACATTTTTAAAGGAAAGTTATTACAAACAAAATATTACCAGCATTTTTGGAAAAAAAAGAAAAAATATTGCCAGCAATACTTTTTGAGGAAAAAATATTAGCAGCTATACATTTTTGAAAAAAAAAATATTACCAGCTGTGCATTTTTGAATAAAATATTACCTGTAATAGATTTTTGAAGAAAAAATATTACCAGCAATATATTTTTAAAAAAAAAAAAATTTTTACCAGCAATAAAAATTTTGTTGGCATTAAATAATGCATTGAGGTTGATATGCTGTAAAACAAAACAAACCAAACCCAATTTTTATAAATATTGTTAAATTTTAAAATTAAATGATAACACTATTGCATATATGCAGTCTCAAGTTCTTAAGAAAAGCTAAGTTAATGGCCTTTTAGACTTTCTCTGTGTAAATAGGAGTTCACTTTTTGAATAATAAGAATTATATGACACAGTGGGGGTAACAGGATTTTAGAGATGCTTAGGTGCAACATGGCCAAAAAAAGGTTGGGAACTACTGAGTTTAGAGGCTCCAAATGTGTTTTATTAAGCTGTCATCTAAAATCATTCTTGTAAAATGTCTTATGATCTGGCTAATGTGAAGGAGTGATTGATAACTATTTCTAAAAGTTCTAGTTGCATCATTATTCAGTTATTTTACTGTTTTGCATTTTTTTTAAAAAAATTTTTTCACTTGTTTTAGGATTTGCTTATTTTCTTAGTAAGTCATTTCAATTCATTCTTATCCTGCTTTGTCTCTGAGTGAATATTCATTTCCATTTTTTTTTTTTTTTTTTTTTTCATTATTTACATTCGGACTAATGTCCTCATTTTTGTTATTATCACAATGTTTTGGCTGTTGTGCCCTCCACCTTTTTCATGTGTCTGTCAATTCAGGTAACTTTCAAGGTATTTCAGACTGAAGCCTTTATTTAATCTACAGTGGTAAATTCTTCTTGTTCTATTGTCCATGTCTAGGGATATCTCATCTTGTTCTTTTTTTTTTTAGTACTGTTCAGTTATTGCTAGCTTTGTTTCCACTAAGTCTAAGTCTATACTATTTAGCCCAGTGACTGAATGCACAATTACTATGCTACCAAATTCACAAAACAACACTTTAATCCACTAAGCTGTTATCAAAATTATTTCTGCTTACTCTAGAAACACATTAGAAATCATGAATTCTAGAAATGTTTGATAAAAGATTTTTAAAGATCTGCATTAAATGATACAAATGATTTATTATAGAAATCAATTGCAACTTTTTTTATTATTTTTGTACAGTAAAATTTGTAATGTGGAAACAGGAGCAAAAGACTTTGACATGAGAACCAATCAAGAACTTCTGGAAAAAGCCTCTGACTACATTTATGATATTTGCCTTTTTGATGATCATGTCAAGAAAGCTGGGAATATTCAAGTAAGACATTTAAGCTTTTCCTAACTTATCTGTTTTTATTTATTTTAAGGCATTGCAAAACATATTACATTGCTATGTACCTAGTAGTCAAAGTTTTACACCAGTTTGGTTTTAAAATTTAATAAATTATACATATAACTATTTAGTAAAAAAAGATACAAGTTTTAATTCTTAACATTTATGTATAATAATTAAATCCCTGTGTATATGATTTTCCTTTTTCTGTTTTTAATAAACAATGTCTTCCTGCCTGTACAAATGAAGTGATAGAAGCATTCATTGTCTTTGAGAATTTAAATTGGCAGAATCATGTCAAAACACTTGTTCCTTCTTTTGAATGACCTAAAGGTCAGAATAATAAATGTAGTTTAAGCACTATCAGTGAACTGATTATGCAATGAATTCATTTTAATAGTTTAAGTAGGTTAATTGGTATTTAATTAGTTTAAAAAAAGCAACAACAAAGACAATGGCCATGTTGAAGTAAGATAAATACAAGCATAGAAATACTGTATTTGATAACTTTTTCCTCCAAATGGCTGAAAATACGTTTCTTAGATCTTGTATGTAAAATTGAGGTAACTGGTTGAATAATTTTTACTAAAACACCATAGACTATGAGTTCTTGTATCAATTCTAACTCCACAATCCTGTGATATTAAATGTAAATATATGCTACTAAATACAATAATTTTATGAACCTGCTATTAAATAGTTCTTTCATTTGTATTATTGTAGTTATTCAACATTATATCTGGTAAAAAAACAAAACATTATGGCCATCTTGTATTGCAATGATACAATTTCAAAATGCTTTTTAATATAAATTTACTTATAACAATTTTCCTTTGTAAATCATTTAATATAAATTTTTACAGTAAATTATTTGCAATATCAATATCTCATAGTAAAAGCATTTTCTATCTTAATCTATAAAAAATGTTTATAAATTTAATAATAAAAACTAAGAAAATTGATATTACATTTTTTGGCAGTTGACATTCAAACTTTGAAAAAGAATTTCTCAAAAGTTATCATCTTACATTATCAAATGTTTGATTTTTCTACCCTGTAGACAGTTATCTTTGTCATTGTTGTTTTTAATCACACTTGTTTCAGTTGATATGTTCTTCAGTTTTCCTCAGGTGAATGTTAATCCAGTGATTTCTAAAGGACATCAGAAGAAGCATACTTCTGATGAATGCCAAAGAACATATTGTTTGAAATGCGATAACAAAAAACGACAAAGGTAAAGATACTAATCTAAAAAAGATGTTGAATAAACTCCAAACAATACTTTCATATGTGGTTCCATTTTAGCCAGGAACATTTGTGAAACTATACAATCTTCATGCTGCTAAATACAAGAATGAAGAGAACTCTGAGGGAGTGTCAGTATCAGAAACCCTGGAATTGGTCCTTCATCGTGGATCATCATATGGTCGAGGCATGAAGGTTCTCCTTAATTCAGACCCAGAGGCCTGCACTCTACGTGGGAAGCTGCAACAAATATCTCAAAGGCCAGAGAAACGCCCAAGACATAGTTCACCTCCTTCCAGACAGTCAACAGAGACAAGGGAACCTCAGCCTGGTTGTAGCACTGATAATGTTTCGCGATTTCAATCCAAAGAGAGCAGTAGAAAAGGTTATAATTATTGTTGTGTTATAATATTTGTTCACTTGTTAACAAAATGTGTGTGTGTGTAAAGAGTTTTGAAGTAGACAATTCAGATAATGTAAGTGGCAGAATGGATTAGATTTTTTAGTTTCACATTTATTTATTTTAAGGTTTGAGAATGTGTTAAGCTAAGTAGTTTTGTACTATTTTCTTATTTTTTAAAGACACAGCTTTTTGGGTTTTGAATATCCAAGCTGCAAGGATTAAATATTTTTTTAAATGTTTTATTGTGTGATAAATTAGTTTATTCATTTCTCAATAAAATACTACCTATGTTCCATAATAGTTATATTTTGTGTATGAAATGTGCATACAAAAGTAATAACTATTGTTGGACAAAGGTTGTATTATATTTTCCATAACATTAACAGGTTGAAACAGTTTCTTGTTGATGTTTTTCTGAAAATTAATAACAAGAATTTTTGTGTAGAAAATCTGTTTTAGGTTTAGAGAACAGCTGTGAGCCATAAAAAATTTGATAATTTGCTTTTTTTAAATTAGTAACTATTTCATTCTTTAATTATATACAAAATGATTAAAAAATGTTAAAAATTTGATGGATGCAACTTTTCTAATAACGTTACTTATATAGAAGATTAAAATAAGTGATGATCAGGTAGAGACTGAAATCATAATATCAGTTCTGCTTTTCAAATAAAAGTGCTCCTGAAGAACTGTAAATATTTTTTAATCATTTGTGTAAGATTCCAAGAATTTGTTGACAGGTATGGTGAACAGGTGGAAATTGAAATTATAATATCAGTTCTGCTTTTCACTCTTAAACCCTTCTATGTTTTCTGCTATCATCTCTAATCTGGCATGTGGACCTAATGGTATCCTTCTACTAGTCCTTAAGAAATGTACTTTCATACTGGCTTCTGTTCTGTATAATAAATGCCTTACTGCTTCTTGCTTTTCTGCTTGTTGGAAATGCTCATCTGTTGTTCCAATCTTGAAGAACTCAAATGAACTGTATGACCCTTCCAGCTATCAGCCTATTAACCCCTTACTCCTTTTTGGCAAACTACTACAGACACTAATCAATGCTGAATTAGTTAAATATCTCACAATGCAAGGGCCTTCTTTCAGACAAATTATATGGCTTTCATTTCTCTAGGTCAATTGCTGATGTATTAATGATTATTGCAGAAAAAGTCTATCAAGCTTTAGATAAGAATGGTACTTTGGACATCTTGGAAGTATTCAACAGGGTTTGGCATACCAGTCTTCTTCACAAGTTGAAAAGTTATGGTGTCTCTGGACAAATTTTTGAACTGATTCAATCTTTCTTATCAAATCATGAAATGAAAGTTATCCTGAATGGCTACTCTTCTAGATCCTTCTGTACTAATGCAGGTCTCCCTCAGGGTTCTACCCTTGGTCTTAGTCAGTTTTTAATTTTCATTAACAACCTTCCTGCTGATGACACAACCATTTACTCTTGTCTCAATATGAAGTCTGAGTTCAATAAGGTCAAATTGGTGGATGATCTCACTCCTACAGTCTGTTGTTAACTTGGAGCAAAGAATGGCTTGTTTATTTTGACACATAAAACAAAACTGCTCTCTATTAATTATCTGATAGACACAAATTACAACAAAAGTTATTAAATGAATGACCAGAATTCATCTCAAAATGCAGAAATTAAAACAAATTTTTGCTACATTACTTAAAATTCGAAAGCTAAAAATGAACAAAATTGAGTAAAAAGAATTATTAATAAATAAGTAAAATAAATTAATCCTAATCAATAAATAAGTAAATAATAAACAAATTAACAAACCACAAACATACACATAAACACAAGTAAAACATAATAACAACCAACAACAAATAATAAAACAATAATAAATAATGAGTAAAAAATTTAACAAACAACACTATAAAATAACAACAAACCTGCATTCAAATCCACAATTATTCCCACTCAATAGCCCCTAGAATAATTCAAAACATAACCATTACCTCTCACCCAAATAACTGTTAGAATAATACAATAAACCTACTCATAATGCACCACTGATCAGCATATATAGTCAAGCCAAATCACAATGCACATGACCTGACAATTGTATTTAAGCATGAAACAGACTGTTGCTGCTGGGTGTTGACCTCAATGTTCACTTTTACATACATTCTATCTCTGATATTGAGCACTTTAACCCAGGTGTGTCAAACTATGGGCTCACAGGTTGCATGCTGTCTTTTAGATGCATCTTGGTGGCCCTGACAAAGGCTTCTATAGCTGTGGTATATCGAGAATTTTGTCTATGTTTGTAATGCAAGTTATTAAAAACTGAATTTTTTTTTCTATTGGTATGATTAGATTGTTTATTCTATCTCAATAGTTTTTTGTTTTTGAATGTCAGTGATTATTTTTAACTTCTGGTTAATCATATGATCATACTTGACAACTAAATAAGAACAAATGTAAAGTGAAAACATTCGTAATTTTGTAATATTTTGCCTTAAAAATATCGAATTCTATTCCCTCTTGTAAAAAGAGAAAATTACCTGAAGAAAGATATGTGTTTCAAGAAAAGTGGGAATTATAGTACTTTTGTACCACTGTTAATGGAAAGATGAACTGTTTGCAATGTCAAAAGAATATGTGAAAAGACGTTATGAAACAAACCATCAATCTTATGATAAATATGAAGGAGATATGCGTGTTTCAAAAGTGATGGAATTCAGGGTTAAGTTAACATAGCAACAGAGTTGCTTTACAAAAATTCAGAAAGGCAACATTAGTTCTGTTACTGCAAGCTTTAAACTCTGCAAAATGATCGCCATCAGTGGAAAATCTTACAGTGAAGGAGATTTCATAAAGCGATGTCTTGTAAAAACAGTTGAAATTGTATGTCCAGAGAAGTCAGATTTATTTCAAGACATTTCATTAAGTAGGAACACTTGCCGAACGAATTGATGAAATGGCAGGTGATTTGAGTCAATAGTTGAAGACTTTATCATCAAGTTTTGAACATTTTTCTATTGCTCTGGATGAGACATGACATAGCTGGAATAGTACAGCTTGCCGTTTTTATCAGGGCTTGTGACAATGAATTTCAAATTTATGAAGAATTAATTGAATTGGTCCCAATGCATGATACTACAACAAGCCAGGACATTTTGAGAAAGTTGAACAGTTTCTCCATGAGTATGGCCTTGATTTAAGTAAACTTGTGTGTTTATCTACTGATGGTGCTGCCATAATGGTGTTGCTGCCAAGTTAGGTACAAAAATAGATAATGTATATCCAGATTCAACATTCAAGCATTTTCACTGTATAATTCATCAAAAGAACTTATGTTGTAAGACTCTAAAATTAGATCATGTGTTAAGTTTTGTCACAAAAACAGTGAACTATATCAGAAGTTGTGCTCTGCATCACTGTCAGTATAGCCAGTTATTGGAAGACGTGAATAATCAGTTCACAAATGTCCCATTCTACACAGAAGTTCAGTGGCTTTCATTTCACAAGGTACTAAAAAGATTTTTTTTATTGTGACACAAAATTATGTTTTTGGAGACGAACGGTCAAAGCACAGATGAATTGAAAAGATCAAAGCTGGCTCCAAGATCTAGCTTTTTCAGTGGATATTACTACCCAATTAAGTGACCTTAATTTGAAATTACAAGGTAAAATAAGGTCATCACTCGGTTATATGATGATATTAAGTGTTTCATTGCAAAATTATCCTTATTAAAGTCCCAGTTGTCACATGAATATTTGATTCATTTTCCTATGTGCAAGGAGTTGAAAAATATGCTCCACACATATCTGCTTTAACCAAAATAAAATGAACAATTTATTGACTAGTCAGAGCCACTCTCACTCCAAAAACCAAAATTTTAATTCAAAGCCAAACAATGGCTATATATTCTCTAATTCAAACAAACTCAACACAGACCAACTTGGATGTCAACACTGGCAAGCTGAGGGACGTAACACAAACCAGCCTTCATGTTAACATCAACATGCTGAGAGAGAGACAACAGCCATCAGCAATGTCTAATTTCACCATTCTCTCTCCTTGTTGCCTCAGCAACATATAAAAGTTACTAGTTTTGTATGTATGTAAATAAATTTATACATTTATTTGCCCATACTCAGATGTATTCTTTTCCTTCTTGAATTTACCTTTGCCAAGGCAGAGAAGGATAGCATTAATAACAACAAGGTTCTTTCTTCCAGGTTATTCATTTTCACTCTAACAATAATTTCCACAATATTTTCACAGTCTGATGCTATTATTATTTTATAATAAATAATAGCAAAAAATAGCATATTTATATTTGTAACAATAATAGAGAGAAATTGGTACAAGTTAATAAATAATAATGTAATAATTCTATTAAGCAATAATCAACTGCCTTTATTTCTTCACCTATTCATGATAAAGAATAAATGCATCAAGATATTGCAGGTTATCGGGCTTTTATTTGTAATTTAAAGATTGCTTTAATGCTTATTCCTCAAAAGGCATATATAATTATGGTTATGAGCTGAAAGTTAAACATTTTCATTCTAAATATTACCTAGATAGGTAACCAGTTGGGAATACCAGGTGCTGTAAGCTTAAATGTGTGGATGGTGTAATTGATAACAGCTCGGAATTGGAAATCGGAAAGCTAAGTTCCAATTCCACTTACAAGCAAATACCCTTGGAAAAAGTATGAATCTACCTCCTCTTCCCTCAACTATGGGTTAATTAGTAGGACTTGTATCGGTAAAAAATAATTATTATTTCCAAAAGATTCTTACATCTAAAGTTATTTTCAAGCTCTAAATGACCTGCAAAAGGTTGATTAGCCATAAAAAACAAATCAACTGTCATTTATTATTTACAAGGAAAATTAAACATTTTCATTCCAAATAATGTTATCAGTCAGTTAAATGCCATCTGTGAGACATGCTTGGGTGATCATGTCTCTTTCCATACATGACTTTCTTGCAGTAGATTGCCATTTCTTTATGCAATAAACTGGTTGCCAACCAAAGCTATAGGATCTAGTCCGTCTTGCTATTCAATCCATAACTGGGGGGAAGGGGAGAAGAGATGGATTCATACTTTTCCCATGAGTATTTGCACATAAGTGAATGTAATGAAACTGACAAGAATTTGAACACAGATCTCTGATTTCTCATTCTGAGCCAATATTCACTACACTACAACACACATCCTCAATAAATGTTATAAGAGACGTGATTAACACACATCATTTAATATATCTTTTGTAATTATATGACAATTCTCTTGGTTACAATCACTAATTGGGTCTTATTGCATAAATTTCACAAGAAATTAAGTGGTAATGGATCTAACAACTGCAATAGATATTCCCCATTGCCTCTTTATCCAATCCACCTGCTTGGAAATATTTTGTCATGACCTGACATTGCATTGAATATGAAGTAGACTGTTCCCATTTGTTAAAAATAAACCTCTTACTCTTCTTCAAAAAGCCACAGAATACCTGGCATATTACATCTTTGAAATATGAAGCATATGTGTAGTCATTGTTTTGGGACACTTTTGTATGTTTGTCTTCTCATAAATTTCTTTCATAGAATAAAAATGTCCAATTATCATTTTCTCTTACAATTCTTGAGAAAACTCATAAACTGCATCTCTTACCTCATTACTTTTATCACTCACACAGCAAACTCCTTCAGTAACCTTCTAGCTTGAGTGGCTCTTGCCTTTGTATAAGATGGACATTATTAAAAAGAAAAAGAAGTACCTCTCTTCTGTTTCTATGATAAACATTTTCAGAGAAAAGTGACCTTTCTAAGTTCATATCTGTTGAATAAGCATTTGGAGCCAAAAATTAGGCCTTGTCATCTCTTGCCCAGTATTGTAATAAGTTATTGTGTAATTTTGTTTTTTCTTGTAGGTGATTTCAGTTCTGCAAGCAAAATTCCATGCTTGACTGGCAGTCAACCTGAAGTATTAAGCAACCCAGTCTCTGATTCTTCTAACCCAACTCAACAAACATCACTATCAAATTATTGCATGATTTCTACAATCTCAGGTAATATTATTATTATTATTATTTTTTTTATTTTTTTTTATTTTTTTTTTTTTTTTGCTGCATTCAAGCAGATTAATTTGAATAAATCTAATATCAAGCAAATATGGCTGCACCTCTTTGACTTCACTTTTTCAATCAAGCACTTTCCCCTTGAACTGCTTAGATATTAAAGCTGATGTCTTCAGTTGGTAGTTATTTGGTTACACTTTTAATATAAAGAACAAATTGGTACAGGGTTAATTTTTAAAAAATAGATTTATAGTTTCACAAGCAATCATCAAATGAATGTTAACATGTTGATACCACAAAATTATTTATTCATTTCTCTGAGTTGAAATAACAAATGAAAACCATTTGACAATCAAAATCATTGTAGTTACAAGAGTATGAAAGCTCTTTGCTTGGAATCCAGTAAATGTCAGTATTTCAATTTTTTTTTCTACATTTCAACTAATTTATTCTTATTCTTTCTTTGGGCTGTATTGCAACTGGTAATTTTTGAGTATTGGCCACTATGTTTAAATCTTTGCCACCCATTTTTACATTTGAAAAAATCACATATCACAGTATTACAGCTTTAGATCCTATGTTTTGAAAAGGACAACATATATGCCAATCAATGTAATATATTACCTTTTTATCTACATGTCTATTAACTACGTATGTACCTGTGGTGTGCACAGTGTCTTATCTACATTTTTTGCCACAAGACACCATCGCTCAGATTTATTAATGGTTTTGTTGACATAGAAAAAATAAAAAAATCTATCTCTGCCTTCCAATGAAAATAAGTTGAACTATACTTATTAGAGCCAGTATTTAGCCACTAACAACTTTATTGGCTTTTCTTTTCCAATGAATTAAAAAAATATGAGTTAAATGAATATTTAAGCAGAGAACAAGACAGTAGAATAAGAGGATTATTCTATAAGGGAAATTGCCTTTTAGAAAATTCTTGCAAATTAAGTATCATCCTGTTTTTGATCAGCTTACAGCCCTATCACATTGAAACATAGGTTTTCGTCTGATCACCAAAGTTAAGCAATGTTGAACCTGATCAGTATCTAGATGGGTGACCTTTTGGGAATACCAGGTGCTGTAACCTTAGAACTACACTCAGACTCACTCAGTCCCTTCCTTTCAAGGTCCTACCCTTTTTCTTATCAAACATTTTCTACCCAACTTGTTGATATGAAATAATAACAAGTTTATTTAAGCAAGTGCAGAACTATCAACCATCTCATAGTGTAAGGTCTGTTGTGGTTGAAAATTGTTTCTAACTACTAGTTTGATAGACTATAAGAAAATGCTTTTATCTTTGTTGTAAAGTCCTACTCTACTGACATTATGTTATTTTTTTTGTTTTTTGCTGTCTTCATATACTATATTGCATAATGTAAACACTTTCTTAATCATTTTATTTGAGGATAACTTTGCAAATAATTGTATCATAGAAATGTGTTATAAATGACTTAAATACATAATATGATAGCAATATATAATGTATTGAAAATTAAAAAGAAATAATGTCAGAAATTGATGCAAGCATTACTGATAGAACATAATTAGATGTCTAATTATTTCTTTTATTTTTTCAGTTATTGATGGTCATCACAATACACAGTTTTCAAAAATTTTAGACATAATTGAATGCAAACATCCTTCAAAATTCCGTCTACTTACTAGAGTCCTTGATTATTTCCCTCAAATTGATGCATCACCCAATTTCATTAAACTCTACTGTCCTCAGTGTCACTACAAGTGAGTATCTGATGTTGTCTTTTCTTGCTGAATTTTATTTTTGTCAATCAAGTTGATTATGATAAACTTTCCAGTGTTTGCTATTCATAATTTTATAGTGCTTAGCCATTTATATAAATAAACATATTTATTTAAAATTGTATGATGGGGTGCTGAAAAGCCCTCACCCTGACCAAAAAGGAATTCCAAAATAAATTCTAATGTTTGGTCATTTGTTCAGATTTTGGGCAAGTGGGTTGGGCTGAGACCTTTTCAGCAAGTTATTGTATATATTTTATTATATATATGTGTGTGTGTATTTGTAGGATGCATAATAGTATCTGAAAAAAAGTGGTAAATTTATAAATGTGTTTCACATCATTTATAAATTTTCCACTTTTGTGTGTGTGTATATATATATATATATATATATATATATATATATATATATATAATTAATAAATTTCCAAATATGCTAATTTAGTTAAATATTTAACTTATAAATTCACAAATTTATAAATGTATAAATTAACTTATATTAAATATTTATATTTAATTATCTTGTAAGCAAAATAAAAAAAGATTTGTCTTGAATTACTTTCACAGAACTACTCATCACAGGGTTAGATAGTCAATTGAATTTATTTCAATAATATCTGAAAATTTTATTTTTTTACTATTAATGCTCTATTTTTAATATTGAGCATTTTATTTACAAAGACTGCTCACCTTAAAATTGTTATCCTCCAGAAATAAACTGGTTGTCTTTTTTTTTTTTTTTTTTTTTTAAATATAGTTTTTTGTTGTTATTATTATGTAAATATCTAAATATATTTAAGTGTGCATACATATACAGATTTAGATTTTAACAAAGTAAAATTGTAACACTTTTAATATACTCAAATTTAAATGTATATGTAATATAAAAGATCATAGGTTCAAAAATAAGGATGTGTTAACAATATTTATACCCAATATTGTATATCATGCCTGGATGTTAAGCCAGGCCTGTACTCACATGTGGCTTATAGCCATATCACATTGAAACACAGGTTCTCATACAATCACTGAAATTAAGCACCATCAAGTCTGGTCAGTACCTAGATGGGTGACCAGGTGTTATAATCTTGGATATGCAAGTGGTGTAATGGAATATGTCATGGAATTAGAAATCAGAGAGCCAAGTCGAAATTTCAGTCAGGTTCATTATATTCACTGATATGCAAATATCCTTGCGGAATGTATGAATCCACCTCTTTTCCCCCAAGCTATGGGTTAATTAGTAGGATTTGTATCAGCAAATATCTCAAAAAAATTCTTAAAATCTAAAAATATTTTCTGGCTTTAAATATCCTACAAAAGCTTGATAAGCCATATAAAACATCTGTACTCACATATGTATATAATTGTACAGATAATGATAAATAACCTGCAATATATTATTTCACACCTCTTGCACTTGATGCAATACAGCAAGAGTTTAACTGAATGAATTGGGCATCATGCCATCATGTCCCATACATGCTCAATGGGGAATAAGTCTGGTGATCATACTGATCAGGGTAGTGGAACTTGTTTGCAGAACCTGTTGAGTAGCAAGGCCATCATGTGAGTAAGCATTCCTGTTTTATGAATGGCAGCTAAAAAAATTAAACAATATACTGAATATACATGGTACTATTCAGTGTTATTTCCACAACTACCAGAGGCAAGCAAAAGTTATAACTTAAGTACTCCACACCATGATGTGTGGCTGTGTTTCATAGGTGAATACATTCTGGAAGATGTTATTCCCCAAATCTATATTGCTTACTTAAACACTATTTCAATGTAAGTAGAATTTGCATTCATCACTGAACACAGCAAAGTGCTGTTTGATCTCTTTCGACCAGGCCCAGATTCAGATGAAGAGAAGCCCAAGGCTATTCCACTTGTGAAGCCTCTCTAAATCCCCACTTCTCACAAACAGAACAAAATTGAAGAGTGTTAAATTAAACAATTAGAGTAAAGCCGAGGGTGATGACAAGTGTTTAAAATTACTGAAGAGTTATTTAGAGTCTACAATGCATTATGACAGCATGTGTAAGAAAGGCCTATGACGGTGTCAAAATATTATACATCTTGGCTGGAGGCCCCCTAGATTTTGAGGCCCTATGCTTCAGCCTGCTAAGCCTATAGGTAAATCCATCACCGCTTGTGACCCTCTTGCAATACCACTGAGATCAAGATCTGGTATGTGTTGTGGGCACTAGCTGCCACTGCTTTTCTCACAATGTATTGATCTTAGTGAGCCCCAGTATTGTGGGCAACCAAAATCTGGTCTACAGATGTGGGAATATTCATTTGATACCAACAAAAAAGGCATCAATTATGCATCACATCAAACATGATTTGGATAATCATTATTTTGTGTGTATTATTTTTAAAGGTATCTGCTCTTTTTAAATTTATAGCTTAGCATCAGATATTTTTTTTATCTGCATCTTGTAAAATTTGTAGAAATAAAGCAAGAGGTTGCCAGTAAAAAAAAAAATACAAATGATACATTATATATATTTATTAACTTTAGCTAAGTTAGGTCTGGCACAAGTTCACAGTAGTGGTTCAGTCAGCATGGACTGAACTCATGTCATTAATAATGGTTTTTAAGGTGAGTTTGTTAAACTTCATTAAGTACCCAAAATGACACATTGTTGTTTTTATTATTTTTAGTGTTGGCTCAGACAAAGAAAAATATAAAAGGTTCTTCTTACCAAACAATTTTGTCAAAGGCCCAAAGTGTCCAGAATGTCAAGCAAGTAAAAAAAGTATATATTTTTATTTATATATATATATATTTTTTTCACTTTATTCCAATTTCTTTGGAATTTTGTCTTAATTGGTATTAGATGTAGTTTTAAACAAACTAAAAACTGTTATACATAATTATATGAAATTCTGTAATCAGATTTGAGCTTGTTACATATTGGTGGATGTATAGGTAGTGTAGTGGATAGCAGCTCTGAATCAGAAATGAGAAAGCCAAGTTTTGAATTCCTATCAGGTTTGTTACATTCACTTACATGCAAATACACTTGAGAAAAGTATGAATCCATCTCATTTCCCCCAGCCATGAGTTAAATAGTAGGACTTGTATCTGGAAAAATCATTGTTATTCTCCAAGAAATTGCTAATGTAATATTCATTTGAAAAGAAAAAAAGAAGAATTCTTCTCACAATCTATATTTTATCTTTAAATAGCCCACAAAGATCTATCTATATTTCTGAGATGAGGTATTATGTACACTATTTACATTATTTGGGCCATTGTCCTCATCTTTCTTGCCATATTTATCACAACATTTTGGCTATTGTATGCTCCGGCCTTCTTCAGGTGGTTGGAATGTCGAATTGAACCCTTTATTTTGCTCACTGGGGTAAACTGTTCTAGTTCCACGTGCCATGTTTAATGGATGTCAGTTATCAGTTATCTCCTGTTAATTCCCCTCTCCAAGTTCTCCACCGTCTTTATCCTTGTCCAGAACAGAGACGTGACATACTTTTGCCCAGCCATTTTGCTAAATCTGTCAAATCATCTGATTAGCTGTCATAACTTTCTCTGCCTCTCCCACATACCTCTGGTCTGTTTCATAAGCTGTCCAAAAAATATTTTATCAATGCAACAGAACATCCAAAAGAAAGCACCTCCCTCTTTGTTTCCAGCTTTTTATCATACTGACTGTTTACCCACAATTCGTATTGTCTCCTTCTGTTAGTGAAAAGTATTTAATCTTAGATTTTTCTATTTCTTTTCTCCAGGTAAGCAAGAAACGATTCTTTCTTTCCTTTTTTTTTTCTTTCTTTCTTCCTCTTCAACTACAGCTAAGTTAGTAAAACATAATATTTACTTAAGAACTGATGCAAACTGGCTGCTCTATTTCACCTGACTACCGTAGTGTTTGTTTCTATATTGTGCTTATATACGTTATTGAAACAAATTGCAAAATTCATTATTCCACAAAAATAAATAATAATAATAATAAATATTTATTAATTTTTGACTAGTATTTTTTTCATCTTATGTTTATTGCAACTCATTGTCTGATCATTAATGAATAATTAAATGAATCCTGCTAGTTAGCCTTTGTGTCCTAATATGTAAAGGGCTGTCATGAAAATGCAGGCTCCTAAGGATAAGTGTTATTAAGTTCAACTCTTGCCATGGTCTTGTTTTTATTTCTGATTCATGTTATTTACGTTTTCTTCTTCTATATGCTGTGTTCCTTGTCCTTTGCAGCTCCTAGTAAAGTTTGTCTTTTTGCTATTATTCCTACTTTCTGTTCTTCCAACCATTTGCATAAGCTTGGTAAGTAGGCTATTCATGCCTTTCCTCTGTTCCTTTCGCCTTCAATATGTCCTGTGAGTGTCAAATTTTCCAAGCTGTCTTTCCTCATTATGTGCCCTAGAAATTTCAACTGTCTCTTTCTGATTTTAAATGATTATAAAAAGATATGGAAATTCCAATAAAAATTAACATAATTAAGGTGAAAGCTTCATCTCAGAAAAATAGGTTGCATCAGTTTTGATATTAGCAAAAGATATAGGTATAGAATGAAATAAAACATGGCTGTTTGCTTTTTAGACTTTTAGAAAAAAAGTATAAGTAAAGGGAAGCAAATACGCTTATGCTTTTTGTAGATATATTGATTTTATTTTTTGTCTTTCTGACTTGTTTCAGCTGCACCTTATTTACAATACATTTTCAAACTAAAGCTGCTGCTCACTGATTCTCTTGGTTACATGATTGCAAATTTATGGAAGGAAGATGCAGTAAGTAAGATATTTCTTTATCAAACGTTTTCTGTACAGTCCTCAAGTTTTCCTTCACTTTTCTAGATATTTATTTTCTGGTAAAGATTATTCATATTTACAATTTAATTCTACACAATAGGAAAAGTACAATATTCAGTAAATGGAGGCCACGATGGAAATTTGGAAGGAAAGAAGTTTCATCTTCAATACAGAGATTATTCTGAATACATTATTCTGTTGTTATCAATGAATTGTTTTCTTGATTTCATAAAGTATACAAAGTTTTATAATTTTAACTTGCTTTTTTTATGTAAGATATGGTTAACTGACATAACAGGCTTTTTTGTATGAAAATGCATTTTTCTTGTGTAGTTTTGCTTCTTTTTTGACATTTTAAAAAATTGTTCATTTTTGTGAAAAATTGACTGCTTGAATTGAATGTAAAACTGGACCCTGATTTTGTGACACAAATACCACTATGAAAGTATATTCTAATTCTATGTAACTGTTATAATTTATTTTAATTGGATGTTTTACTTTTTTTATTTTACTGTGTTTAGTATTTTTCAGCCTTTATTCCAATGAGATTTTTTCTTTAGCAGCCAAGTTTATGTAAACTGACACAAAATCAAGTTCCAGTTAGGCTTATTTATATTGTAAATTAACCACCTCCCCCACACTGATTTTAGAATTATTCTACTTGTTTTGACTTTAAAGCAGCCTAAGAAAAATGCATGTTCATACAAAAGTATGTTCCTTCAGTTAAATGAATCTTAAAACTTTTGTCACTACTGTTTATCATATTTTTTTCCTTATTTAATTAAACATATGAAAAAATTCATACAAGAAGGTAGTCAACAAAAGAACACAAAGGCAGAAAAAAAAAAAGAAAATTGCAGAAAAATTCAGAGTAAAGGCTTTGACTTATCATAACATTTTAGTTAAGGTCTCTTGTTTTCACTATCATTTATGTAATGCAACATATACCTGAGAACCAAAGAATATATTGTTCAAAATAAGATGAAGACTGTTGTAAACTATTTAAATATCACATGAGTTAGTGTTTTCCCCTCTTTCCTATAACTAATCAATTGGTCAGTGATTCTAGAGTTTGTACTTGACAACTAGTTGAGTGAGGCTTGGATTCACTTCAAGTCTCTTTTCATTTACCTAGACTTATGACAAAGACATTAGTCTAAAAATAAATTAAATAATGACATACATAATCTCAAGAGCTTCAGGAAGAAGCTACCGTATATACTCAAAGATAGGTTGCACTTCTTTTTTTTTTTCACTAAAATTTTGATAAAAATTAGGTGTGCAACCTATCCATTCAACATCATAGAGAATCTGAAGTAGACTAGTGTATCAGTAATTTAGGCGAGTATCCTGGGCTTAAGCATACACAAGAAAATTAATTTTTCCTGACATTTTGATTTTATGCAAATTCTTCTTCCAATAGTACAATATCACACACCAAATAAAAGCTCGATCTACGCTGCACATATTTACTATTTATTATCTGATTTACAATGAAATGCGATTTTAGGACTGAAATGATTACCAGTATCCACATTTTTGTCTAAACAGAGTGGCCCCTGCACTCGATAAGTAAATACCATACAATAACAACCAATCACAATTTTGCTTACAGTTATTCAGTGCTGAGTAGTGATTTACCAGTATACAAAAACTCAATTCACCCCAATTTTCGCTGTTACCAGTTGTTTACAAATAATTGCAAACCCTAATCACAAGTAAAAGAAAGTTATGAAGTAGGTTTTAAGTTGAAAATGGTGGATTATGCAGAAGAACATGGAAACAAATCTGCAGAAAGAGAGTTTGTTTGAATATTCAGAACAGGTGGTGAGTGGATGTAGGAAGCATAAGGATCAACTTAAAGAAATGCCAAAATCAAAGAGAGCAGCAAGGTTTAAATTATTGCTGTACCAAAATCTTGAAAAAGAATTGTGTAATAGTGGTTTAGCTGTAACCAGACTTTCAATAAGAACCAAAGCTTTTTAGCTTGCCCCAAAGCACCATCTTATGCAACGTAAATCCTTGGCAGTGTGATGCACCAGATTTATGAATTGATGTGGATTGACACTACGCCAGTGATGATGACAAAGAAGAATTTTGGGGTTTTAATCTTGATGAATTTTAATAACTATGTCTAAATGAATAAACACCTTTGCTTTAATATATGTAAACAAAATTTTGCAGTAAAGGTGAATATTTGAAAATATTTAACAAATATTAGTTATATTTACATTAAAAAGGACCATGTAACTCCCCAGATTATAGTGCAACCTATCTGCAAGTCAACAGCAAATACCCACTTTGACAACCCCAAACTAAAATTGTGACCTATCTATGAGTTGGCCAAAAAGTTTGTTCACTTATTAAGGAGAAAATTAACTAAAGAAACCGAATGAACATTTTGACCAACCCAGTACATTTTATTTCTTTTAATTTTTGGAACTTTTCTTGGGTCTCATTTAAAGTCTAGGTGTTAACAAATATAAAGCCCACTTGTATAGAATAAATTTAAAATTTTGTATCAAATGAAAAATTTGTTAGCCCAACAACAACAATAATAATCATTTTTTTATAAAATATTTACATGCATCTTCAGTTGATGTAAACTTCAAATTAAAAAAAATATATATACTCTTTGTAATGATGCAAAATATGGCACTCATTTGCTGTGGGTGGGTGCCAAAAATATCTAGATTCAATTATTTTACTCATGAAAACTCAATTTTAGCCTGGGAAGTACAAATGAAATGGTTTTATTGATTAAATCAACTAACGGTCAAAAATATATGTAATTTGCAGCTATAAATTTGCAAAATAAATAAGATTTAATTAATAGATCAGCCATTAGTTGTAATCTTTTTATGCAAAATCAGGTTACTTTTTCTTTCTCAAATGGTTTCTACTTTTTGTTCTGACAGGTAAAATTCTTTGATGGTTTGACTCCCCAAATGGTGTTGAATGACCAAGATGCTTACAATCATTTGTTAGATTTCTTGCACTTGATGTGTCCTTCAAAGAGAGTGTTGTCTCAGCGACCAATGATGGAATGTTGCATCAAATCTTATTCCAATGCTGAATCATCTTCAATTTGCTATCAATTATTTGATACTATCCTTGTCAAATAAGGAAAAAAAATGACTTTCTTTATGTTGCAGAAAGGATTGTTTTTTGTTTTTTTTATCGATTTTGGGAAATTTTATTTAAAAACAGATTTTATTTTAATAAAATACTTGACTAAAAAAAGCATGTCTACTCAAATCTTTATATTGTAAGCTATTTGATTTTTTGGCATCCTATATTTATAAACCTACAATGGATAGTGTAGTCAAAACTGACATCTGACAACTCATAGAAAACATTTGAAAAATCTTCCTATTGTATTATTAATCATTATTCATTTCTGATTCATATTTATTTCATTTGTTTTTCATTACAACTACTCCTATCCTCATTTTCTACAGCCATCAGTAAACAGTACCAATTGGATAATAAAGAATAAGCTCAAAGCAAGACCTAAATTTGCATCCCCATTAATTTAGGGAAGCTTTTCTTTGTACAACAGCTGCTCTACTGTTTCAACTATGAAAGCTAACAGTTGAAATATATCAAATCTATGAAAATTTATTCCTTATTTTTCCCACCAAACACTATTTGAGGTTTTAGTTTTTTTCTACACATACTTTTAGTATTAGTAATATTATCTTGAATCTTAAGCATTTTTGACTATTTTTTTCATCATAACCACTCAAACTGCTATTCTTGATTTCCCTATTCATGCTTTTGTTGCAATTAAAGAAATAGTAATCAAACAATACAGACTGACATGCTTAATCTAAAAAAAATTAAAAATAATATAACATTAATACTCCTAGTTTACATAAAAACAGTGACAAATATCAATCAAAGGAAAACTAAAAAGCAAGTTGAAATGATTAGATTTGATCTTCTGCAACCATTAATTCTGGTAGCTCAAATGTTAAAGCAGCTGTTCAATGTAGACTTTCCAAAGTAAAAAGAGTAGTCTTAGTTGTGTAGCACTGGGGCCTCAGGAAGTTAATCAGAAAAAGGAAGAGGAAAGAGACTGGATGATAATTGTTGAAATTTTCAGGAAAATGGATTGAAAAGTTGATAAGAAAATTAAAAATAAAATGCGTAAAAAATTGTTTTAAAATAATAAAATGAAATCGAGAACAGTTTCTAGACGAATCAAACACAAATTTAACTAGACAGAATTCAGTAAGATTGAGCAAAACCAATACTGCCAATCCTTCCCCACTTCCTGTTGATAAGAAGGAGACAATGTATCATTGGAGATGTCAATCCTGAGAAAATAGAAAAACATTGTTTCCAATACCTTATCAGTAAAGAAAATAGGTGGTCCCGAAATGACATCTAAATTGTTCTGGACAAAGAGACAGGAAAACATCTAGTTTGTGTAGAAGGGTCATGTCAGCCACCCAGTAAAAATATCCCTACAAGAATAAAGATTAGTACCTAAGATTGGGGACAGATTCATTTATTTTATTTTCTGTGACATTCATCAAAAAATTTTCATAGCTGACCGAGAAGCACATAAACAGAGAAAGATCATATTTTTTTATTATTACTAAAGATATTGGGAATATTTTTCTTTCCCACTCATGACAACTGAATGAAGAAAATAACTCTTGAGATTGGCTGGCTGGGGCCATCTGGATTAGCTTCAATTATCTTAGAATATAGTCAAGTCCCTGGCTTAGAAAATCACCTAGAACAGAGTATGACAAGATTATCATCTTGTCATAGATTAATTACTGGAAACCCTCCTTTTTGGCTCTCTCACAAAGACAGTTGTACCAGCCTTTGAAAATGGGCTGAGAAGGGAGAGAGAGATTAGTACTGCCTATATGGAGTGGTAGTGTGAGATGAAAAGTGAAAGGAGTTGGAGTTAAGGGGCAGCTTGATTCCTGTGACCACTCTCAAAAAGGGGCTAGCTGGATAGCCCATAAATTTGGAAAACTACTCAAATATTTTGAAAATGAGATTTTAGAAAAAGTTAGGAGATAACTGAACCCCAGACCCTGGTCAACCCCAACCCTGCCAGGTGCAGGACTCCGTATAAGCTGGAGGTTTGGAGAACTTACAGTGTTCCCACACTACTGCTACTGAAATCCACATCATTTGCAGAGACATCCTGACCAAGACCATGTGCCATCCCTGAAGACCAGAACTTAGAAATTTAAATTACTGTTGACATAAGCTATAAACTTCAAAAGGGGATCCCAGTGTCATCTGATTATAATGGTAGTGGGACATGTTAAAACTGCTGTATACAACAAATTTCTTAAACCAAAATTGTTGTTACATTTTTAACCAGAATTAATTCTTTATTCCAAAGAATTCTTTTTTTGTGTAGCTCCTAGTTATCAACCTGTTCTTCACTCCAGTTTATTTTATCAGTGATTTCCTCAGCTCCTGAGATCAAAAACACAGCATGGCAGAGGAGTAAATGAGCATGAAGAAGACAAATGCCAGCAAGATTGAGTGAAAGTGTGCTCATCATCATGATACCAGCAACAAACCAGCAATGTGTTAATGAGTGAGGAGTCAGCTAGATGGTAACCACAGTGGTCTAAAGGAACTTGAAGACTGACAGGGTTACTACAGTTGTATGTTACAAGCTTTACAACATTTGAGTTGAGCTCTCCTATTGGTTCCTTTCATTTACTTTTCAGTCATTTCCAGGCCAATTGCTACTAGTCAGTATCTGAGTCTATTGCCTTGTTTACTTCATAGGTTCATTTATCATGATCTGTTAAATATTTAGGATTGATGTCTCTCTACACGTTCAGGTTTCTTTCTAATTATGTGCCAGAGATTTTTGCAATTGACCAGTATGCACAGTATGTTCTATGTTCCTTCTACATTCTCCCCTGAATCACAGAGCATGCAAGTGGCTCTTTCCTTTGGGTATTTCCCTGTTAAGCCTCATCACCAGCTGTATCTATCACTGCTAGATTATCAGTGTTTAGACTCGGATTTCAAAAATTCTTTGGCACTAAAAGGTTTCAAGGTCCTTGACATGGTATGGCAGGAATTAACCAGGATGGTTAACAATACATTTGGCCAATCCTGAACTTAGATAAGCAGCAGTTTTGGGGCATTTGTTTGTACTGTCTCCCTTGCCTTGTATATCTGCTTATTCATGGATCCCAGAAAAGGCACTGCATCTGTCTTTCAGTCAAACCTCATACAATTAGATCACATTAGGTGGCTCTGTCAGTTTGAAGTATTATTTTTTGGTGTTAGGTTGCATCTGTGAACTGCTTCTTTGCAGTTCCTTCATATTCCTATGACATCTATGATTCTATTTTCTGATACATGAACTTGCATGTCCCTGTCATACCAATGGCCACCAAACAAAAAAACTGTTTTCTGTTGTAGTGGGTGATATCCATCTCCAGCCTGTGTCAAATTTGTTAATAACAAAGAAAAGAGTGTTGAACTCTTATATAATATGAATCTTCTTGTATGGAAGTGAATGCTGGACAATCACCTCACAGATGTAGAGGAGACTTGAGGTAACAGAAATGTGTTTCTGCAGAAGTATACTGAGAATTCCATGGACAAAACATGTAGATATCAAAGAAGTCTTAAGGAAAATGGAAACAAAAAGAACACTTAGAATCAGAAAGAGACAGCTGAAATTTCTTCAACATATAATGGAGGAGAGCTTAGAGAATTCAATACTTGCACAGCATATCAAGGGCAGTAGATTGAGTTGTTTTTTACAGTTTATCAATCCTTTTGGGGTTATTTATAGCCCAAACAATTTGGATTGTAAGAAATTTTTGAGTGAATATTGCATTAATAATTTTTGAGATACAATTCCTGGTATTTAACCTATAGCTCAGGGGAGGAGATGAATTCATACCTTTCCCAAAGGTATTTGTGTGCAAGTAAATGTAAGAACCTGACTGAACTCGAACATGGCTCACCAATTTCTCACCTTGAGTTGCTATCCATTACACCACTTGTACATCCATATCAAGGGCAAGAGGAACAGGTGAAGGCAGCAGGCTGCCTACTTGATGAGCTTGTGTGAATGGATGACAGGTGTTGGAAGCTTGGAAAAAGGATAAACATTGCTAAGGGATAGAAGGTTATGGAGAGCTATGATTACCAACATCCTGAAGGGATACAGCACATAGAAAAAGAAGAAGAATGTAGCATTGGAGGATCTATTGATTGGCATTCTGCACTTTTCTTAACCACTGTCTTAACAGCTGCTTTTGATATGAAAGGACTGACTTTCCTTGCAAAGTAAGTGGTTCACCTTACTCCAGAATTACAACTTTGCTGATGGATGTTCATTTTCTGGCTGGGGTCCAGTTTGTTCACAGAAATCACACATTGGTGTGACAGGTAAAACCATTTTTTCTTTTTTTTTTTTTTTCATTTTATTGGTTTGGTTCTGTCTAGACATGTTTAACATATATTAGCATCATCTGCTTCATTATCCCAGCCTGGATTCAATATACTTTTCATGAATTCCACTGCCATTCAGAGCCAGCACATACAAGGAAATTTCCCACAAGTTTTTCACACAGGGAAAAAGACACTTTGTCACATAATGGTGTCAGGTATATCCAAATTTTACCTCCTTGCTTTCGTCAAATTGTGTTAGCATGACGGTAAGTCAAAGATTATCTGTATTTTTGCCATATATATAACTGTATTCTGAATAATTTTTTACTTGTGTCAAATCCATAAACCATTTTTAGAAAGTTTTTATCTATATTTTCTAAATTTTTTGTAGTTATAATATGGTAGGTTTATATGTAGGTCAGAATTCTTTTGTTGAAGGTAGCTGCAAATCTAGTCTTGTTACATCTAATAATCTGACTTCGGACTACTTTTTATTTTTTTAAGGCTCATTAATTGCCATGACTTTGAAAAGATAGTGAAGAAGTTTCCTATTGCTTTCTCAATGCATTTAAATTCAGAGTTGTTCTTAGACTAGCTGCCATCCACAGTTACAGAGTCTAGTCGGTCCTACTATTTAACTCATAGCTTAGAGGTGGGGAGCAGAAATAGATTAATGCCTTTCATGATGGCATGAATGCAACATGAACACAGGCTAGAA